GAGAGCCATCGATTGCCCTATCAAAAAACGGCTCCTGTTGGAAAATGCTACCATATTATTTATTATTACTAATTGGACTAATTCCATGTGCTTAATAGGAAAATATTTTAAAGTTGGAAGCCGATAAAAGCAAATAATATCAAAAAATTAGTAAAAGTTATAAAATTACTATAGTGATAAGAAATGTTTCGGTCCATTAAGTCATATACATTTCTTACCATTACCACAACTGGACCTCGTCAGTATGACGACTGGTGACAATTAATGTGAATTTCATTTCAGTTTTAAATAGTTATGTTATATCGAAATTAGAAGTAAAGCTAAAAGTTATGGTGCGTAAATTTTGAAGTAAAAGCCTTTCACAGGGTGTGAATGCGCGGAGCTGGTTTTGATTTTTAGCACTGATATTGCTTGTGATATGAATGATAACAGACCATTTTCTACAGCCACATCCTTCAGTACTTCGCGACGCTCGCGACACAGTGCTGCGCATGTGTAGATCAAATTACGGCGTCTGACACCCATCTGTAGAGCTGCACGTTCACCAACCACAATATGCCTTAAATTCAAACAAATAACGAAAAATCCAAGGATAGCAGGGAGCTTTAAGCACAATGATCGTAGCCAAAATGATTTAGTTCATTCCTCGATATACACCGTTCCACTCCACTGCTGATCAGAAATTTATAGCAGCTGGTCTCATTAAAGTCAAAAATTTTACCTTAATGCAATTACTAAAATTGGTGCTTTCTGCTCCGTATTACTGCTATTGGCCAGTGCTGCTTCTAATTTAACGTTGCAATATCCCGGCAAATTGCGCAAAACCTTTAAGATAATTAGAATAAGTTAGTAAAAAACAGCATCAAAAGAATTCACTTGTGACTCTATGACCTCTGAAATAGCACGTAAACTGCAGAAGGGAATCCAGTGTTCTTTCCAATTATTGGTAAAGAACAGAGAAAAGATTAACATCCGATGTCAATTGGTGGATTGGGGACTGCACTGACGATT